TTCCTCTCATATAGCAACCTTTTTTTCAGTAAAACACATTTTACTGGAAATATTCTGTATTTTTTTTAAATTACATTTTGTTATAGTTTTTTCTCCATGTCTTTTTACAACTTAGCTCCTCTTAATGTAAAGGAGATCGGAACACTTACACAAAATGAGACCAGTATAACTCTGCAGTGGAATAAAGTGAATGAGATCTACAACTATACACTTGTGTTTGATGGAGGGGAGAAAAATGTCACTGCATCAGAGGAACCTCAAGTGACAATCTCAGATCTCAAAAGTGGGACTGAATACAATTTCACTCTCTTCACTGTGTTTGTAAATGTAAGAAGCAGAGGAGAAAGCATCATTGCAGTCACTGGTAAGTGGATTTTCCTCTCATATAGCAACCTTTTTTTCAGTAAAACACATTTTACTGGAAATATTTATTACTCACACTCGGACAGTATTTTTTAAAACTCTTAGAAGACTTTTATTTCAAATTTCTTTCCAGACTCATCCAAATGTATTCAGATTGATATACAGTGTGTGTGTGTGTGTGTGTGTGAATTATTTTAATTTGGTGGTGAGTGAAGGCTTTTTTCTTCCTTTTTATCAGTTCCCTCAATGGTGACTTTGGTCAATGTGACTGAACGCTCTGTGACTCACATAACCTTGCAGTGGAACGTGGATGTGGATAAAGACTGGAGCTACCTTCTCCAAATCAATGGTCAAGATTTTAAGTTTCACACAAAGATACACAACAATGTTATCTCACAACCAGTGACATCCCTCCAGCCTGGAACTGAGTACCCATTCACTGTGATCACAATGTTCTCTGAACTCAACAGCACTGCATATAAAGACTTCACAGTAACAGGTATATACAAAACTCTTGTCAGTAAATATTATTCTATATGAATAATAAATAAATAACTAAGTCCTGTTTCAACTCCCTTCAAGTTCCGGCAAACTTGATTTAATATTTAATTTACTGAATGATGTGCTAACAACTAACAAACAAAGGCTTTTGTCTGCAATTATTTTCTCATTCATTTCAGGCATAAACTGTACCATTGTCCAATGGCATGTTACTAACTCATCGATCCAAGGAATGGTTGAAGGCTTGTTCACGAATGCAACAGCCATTAATAAATCACAACGTCACATCAGCACTGGAGGTAGCAATGTGTCATTCACTGGCCTTTACCCCGGTGCAACCTATGAGGTCTCTCTTGTGTATGAAAGAAATTCCAAAATCTATCCACAGTGTAGCCATAGCCTGACAATCAGTAAGTACAAATCTGTCTTTCCACATAAACTGAATATTGGTCTGCATATAAAACATAAATAATGTTTAACTTTTTTAATCTATATTTTAAGATTAAAGAGCATTTTAATGATAATAATAGTGAAAGGTGCCCTGTACATTTTTTTTTATTATTTGAAAATACCTTTTATTTACATACCACAAATTAATAAGCTGTTTCTTTATCACTGCATTGGCTGCTAGTATAATTATTTTTTTTAGTATCAATTAATTTATTTATGGTCTAATAATTCAATTAAAAGATTAATCACTTAACACATCACAAAATGTGAAATGCCCTTTAGTACAGGTCAGGGTAATGTCTTCAAGTTGCTCTTTTCTGGCAAACAGTCAAACCTCCCAAATATTCAGTGTACATATAAAACAGAGAAAAGCACCAAATCCTCACATTGGTAAAACTGGAATGACTGGCTTAAATTATTAATTCATTATAATTATAGTTTTGAATTAGTTTATTTGGAATTACTAACTGTTTGAATAAATTGTTTAAAAACATACATTACTTTGTTATCATTGTGTTTTGTTGTTATGTTCGAGTACAGATTTAAATATAGGCCATTTTGATCAAATCTGTGTTCAGTATAGAAATCGTGTTGTTTGTGATTGTACTGTAAAGGCATTTTCCCACTTGTTTTACTCAGTTCCTCCAGATTTAAGTGCGCACTGTAAATATTGGGCAGCTGGCTATTCTGTCCTTGTTGCCTGGAATGAAGCTCATGGTCACTGGACTAAAGTGGAAGTGAATGTGAGTGGACGACCAGAACCGTACAAAATTGGTGCAGACAAACGACAAATGACAATTGATGGATTCCTACCTGCCAAAACATACACATTGTCTATAGCTTCCCTGTCTGGTACTGTAAGGAGTCAACGGTTTTTGTTTTCATGTCCCACTGATCCAAGGGGTGAGTATGTGACTCTATATTAGCATTATAGCAATATATTAGCACTTTTTCCTCATTATTGTGCTGTTTGTGGTTGCATTTTTCTTACACCATACATTTCAAAGTTTAAGTTTAGTGGCAAAACAGATAAATAGAGACTGCTCTGTTGCGTTGAGTATCTACTTTATGTCACATAATATTTAATTCATATTTTACTCCCTGTAGGAGTCATCGGGGGGTCAGTATTTGCTGTGCTGCTTTTTATTGTCCTGGTCTGTCTGGCTGTCTTCATTTTCCTTAAAAGACCAGATATTATCAGGTTGGTACCGCCCCAGTGACTATTGTTACATTATCTATCTCAAATCAGTTAACCTCTTTTTGTCCTTTCCATCAGCAGAAAAAAGCAGTTTATTGGTGGTTCCAAAGTTCCTAATAAAAAGGGCAAGTAAGTACACATTTTATTATCTCTTCATTATATTAACACCACTCTCAGTCCCCTACTATACTATGAGTAATGTCAATTTTTCTTCTGTAATATGCATGCATTAAATATTATTTTTAAATATTACATATCATTAGGTATACAACATGACATGAATTATACACTTATGTTTTTTTCAGAGTCATTTCTGTAGAAAAATTCCCAGACCACTTCTCACAATTAAGTGCGGATGAGAACCGAGGTTTCAGCCAGGAATATGAGGTGCATCAAAACGTTTTTCCACTTCTATGTCTCCTATTTCTGTAAAGGACTGTAAAACTGCACGTGTATAGTTATTGTACTGTTTATTTTGCTTTCCGTTGTCTCAATCGCATACTGTGTCATTTGCCAACTGCCATGCAGACCCTCAGTCCTGTTGGTACGGAGCAGACACGAAAGGAAGCTCTTCTACCTGAGAACAAAGCAAGGAATCGTTTCACCAATGTCCTACCATGTAAGCCCTCCTATGACTGTTGGACCACGCTATCACAAGCAAGAGAGACTTAAATGCTCCAGATCTACTGACTCATTATTGTCGTGGCTGTTGTGGTGCAATGCAGTTAAACCATCCTGTTTTCTTATCCTAGATGACTGGTGTCGGGTGAAGCTAACTACATCAAATCCCAACGTGACCTCCGACTACATTAATGCCAGTTACATGCCAGTAGGTATTACTTGATAACTCACAATTTAATAAAGCTCTTTCTGTAATTATTGTACACCACAACGCAGTGAACTTTAGTCCTTTAGTCAGAAAGGTCATATTTGAGAATCTTGCACCATTTAATATCTGGAGTGAGGTTTTTAAAATATCTTGAGTGAAGTTGCCACAGTTGCAAGTAAATGTTTGCATTTGGCATCTAGCAATTTATGCTTGTTTTGTGTAATTTCATGCGCATAAAATGTTGTTTTATTTCATACTAAGCAATGTAGTAAATATAAAAGCTAGATAAGTCTACATATTCATTTTGAAAATTGCTTCCCAGGGCTACAGCAGCAACAGAGAGTACATTGCCACTCAGGGTCCTTTGCCCAACACTGTCAATGATTTCTGGACAATGATCTGGGAACAAAGAGTGAAAGGTATCGTCATGGTAACCAACTGCACTGAGGGAGGACGGGTGAGTTGGCAGGGAGATCTGATAATCTTTTATTGCCAGATTTTAAAAAAATTAGTGAGCCATTATGAACCATTTGTTCTTATAGCTAATGTTCTGTGAAATGGTCACAGTTTAATCTCTAGTTCTTTGTGAGTTTTTAGGTCCCCCACAAAGAACGGACAGGTCTAGGACTGTTGTTCATTGCCATTACTTTGTGGTTTATAACTTCCTCCTTTCCTTTTCCTAGACTAAGTGTGAACAATACTGGCCTAGAGACAGTGAGTCTTGCCATTATGGAGAGCTGTTGGTCACCATGAGATCTGAGCAGCAGGAACCTAACTGGACACTGAGGGAATTTAGTGTGAAACATGTACGAAACATCTCAAATTGTTATGGTCTAACTGAATAAGTTTAGTATTAATGTATTTTCAAGTCTCAAAATTGGGACTGTGTCTACCTCTGTGTACAGAAACATATTAGTATTTTACTGTAAATGTCCGTAAGAGAAGCTTGTTTGAATTTGTACACATTTGTTTATAAGGATGACGATGAGTGATGATTTCAAGTATTATTTACCAGCCACTATATTTGTTCAACACATAGACCTACAGTGTTTAAATTCCTCTATGTGAATCTTCTTCAGAGCAACAAATCAGAGGAGCGCACGGTGAAACATTTTCACTTCACTGCCTGGCCTGACCATGGAGTCCCACAGGGCACAGAAATCCTGATCCAGTTCAGAGGACTGGTGAGACAGCACATACAGAGAGAAGGGGCTGGAACACCGACTGTGGTTCACTGCAGGTAAAGAATGAGTGCTTGTGGTCTGGAGTCATTTGTTTGGCACTTTAAATCACATTAGGGTAACAATGGTCAACTGAATAGCTTACTGCAATGATATATGATTAAATAACCACAAGGACTTCCTGGTGACGCCCTGGTTATACCTGTACACTAACTGCTTAACTTTAGCTGTATGTCTCTCTCCTAGTGCTGGAGTGGGGAGGACAGGCACTATCATTGCCCTGGATGTGCTGCTTCAGCAGCTAGAGAAAGAAAGAGCAGTGAGCATCAATGCCTTTGTGCACAAGATGAGACTGAGTCGACCACACATGGTGCAGACAGAGGTAAAACTGACCGCAAGTTGCTTATGGCTGAGCTACTACTTCCTTAGTTAGGTACCCATAGCTGGTGAAACAGTACAAGCACTATAGCATAGATGTTCATGTAGTCCTATAGAAATGTGTCTGAAATGGTCTTTTCTCCTGTCCCATTTCAATTTTTACTCGAAAGTCTTTCATTTCAAAGTAAAACATTATTTCGATCATGGGTTGTGCTGTTCATATGTAAGGGCCACACCTTGCCATAAAACATGCTATGTAATACTTTGAGTAAGAACTGAAGTTGTGCTTTCAGTTACATTAATGTAGGCTGCACTGCTCTAAGGTGTATGTTTATATGCACATTTATATTCTTTGTGACAGTTAATTATAATAAGTCCAAGCACAAAAGCTACATTATTAAGAAGTTCTGAGGCCTGTGAACATTAACATTATGTAACCCTTTAACCCTGTGGCAATACCACATACAAGGAAGTGACAGACACAATATGTACGTAGGCACTCCCTACACACCCAAAGTTCTCCTTTTTAAATGACCGGACATTGTGGTTTATTTCTTTTCAGTCACAGTACGTCTTCCTGCACCAATGCATCATGGACTGTCTGCAGCCAAATGACAAGACTGAAGAGAACATATATGAGAATGTAGACATGATATATGCCAATGCCACTGCACTCCGAGAGTTTCACAAAAATGCCTAAACCAAACAATATTGTGGGAATATTGCAGATTAATTAATTAAAAACGAATTCTAAAGTCTACATGCTATATTTTGTGACCGTAAATATGACTGTAAATATGAAAACATTGAAGTCTTATATATTTACTGTAAATGCATAGCACATTTAAGATTTTATTTAACTTAATTTTTTGTCTTGCATATGTCTAATGTGTTTTATTATTATTATTACAACTATGTGAACACTTCAGGTGACCGAAGAATGTTTTCAAATTACATTTAGAAAGATTCTGAAAATGTAGTCAGAAAAGAATGATTTCTACTATCTATATAAATAAAATATTTTTTATTAATAAAAATACCTGAATGAGTTTTTACAAAAACTGCAAAGGAAATGAAAAACCTGTCGTGCTGTCTCATTCACACGTCAGTTTCAAACTGATAGAAACAGCAACTTGACTCAAACTGTGTGTAACTCTCACATTATAATCTGGGTTTAGGTTCCAACGGATGTCCTTAACATGTCAGTATATCGATGATCCTCTTCTCTTCCTAGAGCAGATGACATTCACTCTGCTCACACATCCTCCTCTGTGGTGCCTGTACTCGGTGCGTCCTCGCTAATGGACACATCAGAGAAGTTAATATGGATGAGTTCCTGTCTTGCTTTTAGGGCCTCAGAGTTGATCTCTTCTGGCACTGAATGCTGCTTGCCTGGATGCAGCGGCTCAATTTTACCAGCTACAGGCGGGGGAGGGACGGAGAACTTCTTAGAGATGTTGTGCAGGACACTGCACGCCTTGATAATGTTGGACTTTTTGTCCAGAGAGCCTTCTTGTGCAAAACCAAGCTGCATCAGACACCTGAAACGCCTCTTCATGGAGCCGAGCGTCGTTCGCATGACGTTGAGGATCTTTGCGTGGGCCTTGTTGAAGCGGACCTCGTCGTCGTTTGCAGGTTGTGACACAGGAGTCAAGACATGTTTGCTCAAGTGGTAGCCTTTCCCACCTTTAAGAAAGACACGGGAGAGTGCAGTTAATGCAGCATCAGAGAAACAAGACCACTGAAATGTTAATCCTAAAGATTGTATGGAGTTTAAATAATACAGATGAAAGTAAATCTGTAGTATGGATTGTGAGAGTCCAACTCAGCCTTGCCAAAAATGAATTGTGTAAAGTTGATTAACTCATCTGTACACATACACTAAGGAAACCAGCATGATTATACCAGATGGAAATGTTTTATTTAGAAGATGATAAAGCAATAATGTGTTTCAGAGCTGAGTAGACACTAAAAGGACGTTCATGATTTCCATATTAAAATAGGGACCCTGAAAGTACCAATAATCTTATAGAGGAGTGGTTGTAAAATATGATTGCACCACATGGGTATAGTTACAAAATATCAGTTTTATGACATTATTGCATGGGGAAGTTCAATCTTGACCTTGGAAACAGTAGTTTGTCAAAAATATTTGAGCTTTTCCCAGAAATTTCAACCACATATCGTGGTCTTCATCAGCAAAGGGACTTCGGAGACAATTGTCATTGAGATTTAATAACAACTGAGTAAATTCAAATTGCTGTGAAAGACTGGGACATACACTTTAAAGCAATTTAAAGTAAAGTGAGTTAAGATATTACATAACACTGGGCATTATTACTTGTTTTGTGAGGCATAAAGTCGGAAGATATAAAGCAAAATATCTATGTTTGATATGTTTTATGTGTAATGGGTTTGTCTGTGTTTATTGACTGGGAGGTAATGGAGTAGGTTGTATGTGTTTTCAGTAAATACATGAAATGGGTCTCACATCGATCTGCTCTTTGTACCTTTCAGCATACACACACATCTTACCAATAACCCAATACGGTCCGTGCAATTCCTCCTCCATTTCCCTTCCTTTGAAGGACGACTCCCACATTTCCTGCTCAAACGTGCTGCCCACACAGCATTTCTCTACACTCAGTATGTTGCCATCGGAGTCGCATATGATCTGGCTCACGACCGATGTGTACCCCAAAGTGTTGACAAAAGACCTGAAAGTGTCCTTCTCATAGGGAGAGGCTCTGATTTTGAAGTGCGCCGGAGCCAGGACGCCCAGCACGTTGGGAATCCCACAGAACCTCTTCACCTTGAAGGCGACATTGGCTTTGGCTTCCCGGATCAGTGGGAACGAGATGAACTGATCGGACATCCCCGCGATCACCCCGGACACCGTGCAGACGAGTGACTGGCAGTCCTTCTGGCTCAGCCCGAGTCCCTTCAGGACGGCGGCCGAGGAGGCTCCGTGTGCGTAATAGTTGAGCGTCACCATGACCATCGAGTCCACGGACAGTGCGGGTTTCTTCAGCGCGACCTTCTTCATGCGGATGCGGACGGCGTCAGTGATGAAGGCGATGCAGGGTCTGGTGAGGTGGAACATCTGGAACAAAGCCTCGTCGTCGAAGTCATCGAAACAACTCGGAGCCCCGTTGTCCGCTTCGCCTTGTCCGAGGAGCTCCTCCTGGACGGCGAGCCACACCGGCAGAGCGAAGGCCATGTGTGTGTGTGTGTGTACCGCCGCGGTGCGTTTCAATGTAGCTGTCCGACAAAGATCACTGCACGGGACACAAATGGTAAACAGTAGCGAGGAGCATGGAAGCACGGTCTTCTTCTTTAAGAGTTAGTCATTGCGCAAAGCTGCTCGTTATCGCCACCCGGTGGACAGGAACAGGGTTTCAGTGGAAAATCCCTACTTGCATCTATAATTTATTACACATACATATCATCCATCACTGTCGAATATAAATTCTGCACATTGTATATAGACATACACGCATGCAAAACCTTGATGTGCATTCGATATTTAGTTTTTTTACTATTTGTATTATAAATAAAAATAGTTGCTGTTTACAGTGTGTGTCTATATATTTACATATTTGTTTCCTTCTTCACAGCTACACGTATCTTTTCCTGTCATGTGTTCTTTGAACTGTGTGCAAGTGTATTTAGAGCAACTAATTGCTGTTTTAGTTGTGCAATAAAGTGATCCGATTCTGAAGTTGCTTGGGGACGAAACTAAAGATATCAGAACATCAGTCAATATTACACCTGTAGGAGAAATTCCAATTGGCAGAGCAGTACAGGGGAATGTAGTGCAAAGACTAAAGAAAGATTATAAAATACTATAAAATATATACACTATATACAATGAAGTAGAATATTGTATGCCTGTGTACATGTGCAATGTTTCTAAAATATTAAAAAGAGTTGTGCTTGACGGTTTAAGAGTCTCAGCGGAGGTAGGAGGTGCTGTGGCGTTGTGGAGTCTGAGGGCTGATGGCACAAATGAGCCTCCCAAGCACTTTGAAGCACTGGGCTGGATTAGTCTGTGGCTGGAAGTGCTCCTGAGCAGTGCATATGTATCAAAATCCCAGTGTGGTTGACAGGTTTAATTGTTTCAATATGCTTGTGATGTACAGATAATTGTTTATGTTGTTGTTAATCAACAATTATCATATCGTCCCTTGTGATATCCCATGAACAGGAAGGAAGGTCTGATTTCCCCTCTCTGTAAAAATGCAATTATAACAAGTAGGAACACTGAGTTTCTGTTTTAAAATGTATAGTAATTCTTTAGCTATAATAAACCAAAAGCTTTTTATTACCCGAGGGGGAACTAAACGTGAAATAGAGGAAATGGAATGAACACACCATAATAAAAAAATAAAATATATTAACTTGGAAAAAAAAGATCAGATTGAATTGTTGATCTATGTTGCAGTTCCGGTTGTGATTTAGACCAATCAGATATATGTATTGTTGTATATGTATGTTTAGTGCCTATTTAATGTCATAGGTTTGAATCAGAACATTTTAGTCAGGCACTAAACTGCTCCAGAAGCTGTGATTTGTTGCAGCTTCACTCGTAAATGTCTAGCAGTGGACACCGAGGTTAAACTCTTCCCCTATAAAATTCAAAATTTAACAGGATTATTGTGTATATAAATATATCAAATTCCAGTTTAATTCCAGAGACAGGAAACAGGCAGAAAACAGATACAACCTTTTCCAACTTCTCCCCTCTGGTGGGCGCTACAGAGCTCTGTACGCAACAACAAACAGACACAGGAACAGTTTCTCTACTACTGCACCTGTAAACTATTTATTGTTTATTTTTCCATTTTAAAACATAAACATAATCATCCAAATACATCTACCCATGCTGTGCATACTGCATATACTGAATGTACTGTATTTACTGTCATATCCACGTATCTCATACACATAAAGAAACCTGCATGTGAATATTTATTTCAGCATCCTCTTGTACTATTGTCTACAATAGTTATTTTTTGTTTATGTATAACTGTAAATAGTAGTTTATGTCTATTTTGTTAAGTCCTGTTTATTTATGCTGTTAGTCTGTGTTTGTACATGGAGAGCAACGTAAAAACCGGAGTCAAATTCCTTGTATGTGTGTACATACCTGGCCAGTGATTCTGATAATAAGCTTATTTATTTCATATGATAACAATGTTTTCAAATGTTTAATTATTGCACAAAACGCAACACATATATATATAAAAAATGTCATTTATTATTACTCCCTTTTTCATCCAGTGAACAAGTTGAACTGACAATAGGTTGTTTGTGATATTGTGTTACATCACATTCAACATATCGTTACTATTAATATGAACACAGGCAATTATTTTGTCCAATATAGAAAATGTAAATTAATTTAAATAAATCTTTCTGACCACGTTGCATTTCTTGCAGCAGCTTACTGCCATATACCTCCAGCTAAAATCAGTTTCTGCTTGTTATTGCTTGGGCGACAAATAGAACATTTTGTTGACTTCGCTAATGGAAACATCTTTCAGTCGGGGTATTCCTCCCTTCTGGCAGTCTTTTGTCCGTTGGCCTTGAGCATACACATCTGTGACGAAAGGAGACATTCAAGGGTGTTAAGGTCGGGAAGTTTGGGAACACCATGAGAAAATGCTCTTCACATTTAAGTGTTGTACAGCACATTCATTCCAGTATTAATATCAGCAGACTCTGTAGTCCAAACTGTCAGCAGTCCAACCAGCAGGTCACAGTTAGCTTAACGTCCTCACCTGTGATGTTGTCCACGGAGTCGAGTGGAGCCGTGTTGTTCATGTTGACTCCGAACAGCAACACCGCCATGATGGTTATTGCAACAAGCAGATAAATCGGCACAGCGAGGGCCCAATATCTACAAACGACAACATGTATAAGTTAACAGATCAGAAACTTCTCATTTGAATATTTCTTATGTATTTTAAATATGTATTTAAACTGTGAAGAGAGGGAACTTGTTATTGAACTGCTCTCTGATCATACATTTCTACTTACTTTTGAGGCCAGTAAGTGAGTCCTATTGAATGAAGCCACTCCTCTGGTATAAATGCCCACAAACAATACAGAACTGTGGAGAGAAGAAAGTAGATGTCATATTGCAGATATGGTTGACGGGTTTTCTTGTTTGAATACCTATTCACACTGTTTCACACTGGGGGATCAAGGATTGGACACACACACTGCCAGTGTTAATACAAAAGCAATCATCATAACCGGACAGTGTGTGTGTTGAATGGCTACATCTGACTCATTGTGTGTGTGTTTGTGTCTGAATTTTGAAAGTTTTAAGTAGACCTGTGGAGTATTTAACCAAAGCAGACACAGATAAAATAAACAATGTTTCTTCTTCAGTAAATTGAATGAATAGTCACTGTATTTTATTTAAAAACTGAGCATGGCTTACTTCTCACAGCATGTCACATAAATATATAAAATGTGTTGTTTTATATTTGTGACAGGTTTTTAATTGACCACAAGCAAAAGAGAAATCCAGCAGAATTACATATATACGACAACAATGGCAACAACTGAATTAGACTGTTATCCTCACCTTTTTTTGTTTTTTTTAAAGGTTTCTAGCCAATTCTTTTTGCAAACAAGCTTTTCACATGACTTATTTCACCTATGAAACCAATGATATTACTTTTAATATTTCCTTTTTTATTTACGCAGTTGTGTCTTGCTGTGTTGGATAAAACCATATGAGAAGAATAAATTGAGGCTATATTTTGTTTAGGCCACTGTAATAACGTCTATGCCGTTGTACTGAACATTAAAATGCATACACACTCAATGTCTCAGCTGTATTTCCCATTTCATGTTTAATATTTGAATACTGGAAGAGTGAAATGACTATATATCACTTACTGAAGCCAAACTGGGAGCCAAGGAAAAGAACAAAGCCATAAATGGCCCTCTCAGGCAGAGGAGAGGGAGAGTTTTCCACCATAATCTGAAAGCACAACAAACACAGAAGTGTCACAATTCAAGGAATATATAATGCTTCATACCCAAAGTTAGCTCGAGTTAATAATTATTATACCTATTATTAATTCCATACCTGTTAATACGTACAGCTTTGGTTCATGTAGCAGTAAAAACTAGTGCTAACGTTAAACTGAACTCCAACTTTTTTTTTTAACACATTTATCAAAAAAGTCAAATTAAAGAGTAATATAAGTTAAAAAGACGTTATAACTACAATTTCTGATAAAACTGTGACACTCTCCAAAACACTGCAGCTGTCAAACAAACACCGTCGATGTCCGATGTGATATTCGGTCCGATGTGAAACGTTTTTTCAGAAAGGCGTTCCACATTTCGAATAAGAAGCAAAACAAACCGCAAAACATCTATTTTAAAACGTTTTCATACAATATATAAGTTGCAGTGGACGTGAGTTTAAAAAAAAAAAAAAACGACACCGTGGTCGTTTGATAGCTTACTGGGCGCGTTTGGGTTACCATTTCATGTTGTTACCGGACACATTTGGCTGGTACACCCTTCGGAAATACACATTTCAGCATGGCTTTGCAGCACCTGGACTGTACGACTGGGCTTTATCTCAGCAGCTGAGGACAGTATCCGAACAGTTCCTCTGCGTCTGTGCCGCTACATGGTGAACTGTCTCCGGGGAAACACTTCTTGGTGAGACGGTACCAACCGGTACTTTTTGAACGTTACCTGGTAACCGAGTGACGGAGCTGTGACGGCCCAGCGTGGCCGAGGACGCTTCACACACTTCACACACTTCACACACTAATAGACAAATAATGCAAACTATTCCCCCTAAAGTGGCCAAAATGTCAAAGGTGAAGGCAAAGAAGACGGACTCGCCTGCTAAATCACAAAGACCCAAATCTGCAGAAACAAATAACACAGCGAGAAAGAAAAGGAAAGAGTGGATGAAAGAGAAGTTCAGGAAGGTGAAACCTCCACCCAAGGACCAACAAAAAGCTAAAACTCAGCAAACATTGCCTCCAAAAGATGCCCAGCAGTTCTCTGCTAACTGGAAAACATTACAAGAGGTTTGTCGTTTAAAAGAGTTTGATCTGTCTCTGTAGCTTGTATGTGTACATGTCATATCTGTGTATTAGAGTTTCTTCACATTCAGTACTTCAAGATTATTCACAACTTTTCTCAACTTTCCACAGATGCTAAAGGTCAGTCAACCAGAGAAGAAGCAGCCGGTGACACCAAAACACCCGAACGGGGCTCTGCAGAAAAAGGAGGCTAAAGAAAATTCTTCTAAAAATACTTACAAGAACAATGTCTGTCCCAGGCCGACAGACGCGGAGAAAAAAGTGAAGCATGAACCGGTTCCTAACAGTGTTGTCCCCAAGGACTCTCGGGCCAACGTGGATGTTCCAGGTGTCTCAGAGACAAGACAGCCTGCTGCTCCAAAAAGGAAAAAGGACAGTGGGAAGTCAAACAGCGAGCAGGCGGCCAAAAAGAAGAAATCTGTGGCTGAAGAGACGAAACCTACAGAGTACGTATACGGCCCTAACATCTGCTAATACTAAGGTCAAGATCAACTGTGCCTACTAATAATGTTTTCCTGTGTTATTGTAGAGCGGACCTTTGGTTTGATGATGTAGACCCTGACGACATTGAGGCAACAGTGGGAGCAGAGGCAGCAGACATCATGAGGAAGAAGCAGGGCGTTCAGAAGAACAAGGACACAGAGAGCGCCCTGGTCAAGGAGAAAGCCTTCGAGGGGTGAGCGATAAAGTGTCCACTCTTTGACCCACAGATGTGCTTCAAGAGACTCCATGTCATACTGTTAAAAGTGTAATGACTATTATAATAACTTAAAAACACACATCTATAATGAATCCTCCAAAGGTATGTGAATGAATGAAATGGATGCAGCATATACACCGGTCTGAATGCAGTGTTGTGGACGTTATGCCAGAACCTCTAAAGCTCACAAATTATTGACTTCCTGGAGTCTCATCTGGTTGCGTGGCAACCTCAGTGACGACAAGATTCCAGGAAGTCACTACGTTTGGACTGAGAGAGGCTTCCTGTTTCCCCCTGCGTCCAGTCTTCATGCTGAGCTAAGCTAAGCTAACTGGCTGCTGTCTGTAGCCTTATATTTATTGATTTATTTAGACTTGTGAACAGTGTCCCAGTGGTCTTCCAGTCCCTTATCAAAGTCCATTAACAGGCTGGCAGCCGGCTCCATGTTCAGCAAATCCGAATATTTCCCCAGCCATGAGTCCTTAAAAAAAGCAGCCAGGTTTTTGCTCCTTTTTTGGGGGCTTTTATTGCCTTTATGATAGTGACAGCTTAAGACAGACAGGAAAGGGGGGAGAGGAGAGGGGATGAACACGCAGCAAAGGGCCGCAGGTCGGATTCGACCTGGGCCGCTGCACAGGATGGCTCAGTACATGGGTCGCCTGCTCTACCCACTGAGCTAACCGGGCGCCCGCTCCTTCCAGTTTTAAAGGATTAGTCTTTTAGTCGAGGAGCAACCCAATGCCCAGAGCCGGTTAACAGTTCTTCCCACATTGTTGTTTAGTCTTTGATCTAGCAGGCATGCTGCGGGACATATTGGGAATTCAACATTAAAAACATCGGACATGAGGGATATTGCTTCCGCCCAGAGTGTTTTGACAGCTGGACAGTCCCAAAGTAGACAGAGTAACGTGCTTTGTTTACCACAATTATACCAACATGAACCTTCATCATCCATCTTAGATAATCTAACAGGGGTGATATATGCTCAATATGCTAAATATTTGACACTGTCCCTCGTGACAAGGTAGCCCTCTTAAGAAGCTGATCCCGCTCTAAACATGAAGCTGGCACAGCTCCTTCTTTGCATTTCCTATTTATGGCAGAGGATAGTTGTGCATATGTTTAAAAAAAGATGAATGTAGTTGTTTTAAAGACACAATTTTATTGCTAAAGATCTGACCGACAGTTAGAATTCCTCTCCCACATTTTGTCACCTAAAGTGCGTCCTCCAGCTGTGAGGTTCTTATAATGCCAGCATTAAAAACTAATCATGGTGTTATCCAATAAGGGTGGGGTTCTTAGACTATACCACAATGACGCCAAGGATATGATCTTATTACCGGATATAGTTGATTTTTCCGAACACTCCCAGCTACTTACTGGAAAGTCGCATTCATAAGCCCAAGATAGTGGATATTTTGCATTACATGCTAGATAATACTGATATACATCTGGAACTCCTAATCCCCCACCTGTGTCTGGGAATGATTAATTTCCTGTAAGAAATTCTGGACTTTTTGTTATTCCATAGAAATTTAAGAGGAATAGTTGCAATAATATGATAGCCATTAGCCTTATATTTAACAAACAGATATTAAATGGTATCAATCCTCTTATCTAATGTCAGACAACTATTTTCCCTGGCGTATCATACTGGTTTAGATAGGTGAATGGATCTTCTTTACTGTCCAGACAGACATTGGTTTCCATGTAGTTTGTAACAGCATGAAAATCAACTTGCAGTGACATAAAACTCCAAATGCCTTCTTGGTGGTATACAATTGTTAATTTTTCCTTCATCTTTAGAATCAGCTTACAAAAGCTAATAATGATTCTATTTGCATTTACAGCTGCCTTTAGTGGCCATAAAATACATAAAAAGAAATATATATATATATATAAGATATAAATGGATGGATACATTGTTTTTATGTTTAGTGCTAGAAGAAAGAGTTAAAAAACACTTTTCAATGATGATACAACCAATCCAGCAAAAGTGACAGACATGAATAAAACTGTCTTAATATGTTTTTTAGCCTCACCAGAGCCGTGGCCATTGATTGCGAGATGGTGGGAGTCGGTCCTGGCGGAGAGGAGAGCATCTTGGCTCGCGTGTCCCTTGTGAACCAGTTTGGGAAATGCATCTATGACAAATACGTGAAACCCACAGAGAAGGTGACGGACTACAGGACAGCCTTCAGTGGCATCCGACCGGAGGACATCAAAGATGGTGAGTCACGAAAGTAGTTGCAATGAGGAACTGAAACGTGTCATGATTTAATTGCTTTAATGTGTTTTTCATGTACTTTAACTCCATCATTTGTCATCCACATTGCAGGAGAGGATGTAAAGATTGTGCAGAGGGAGGTTGCTGAGATCCTGCAAGGGAGAATAGTGGTTGGACACGCCATACACAATGACTTAAAGGTAGCCTGGATATAATATCTGAGAGGGAACTGAAATAATTATCTAAATAAATGTAAGCGCTTATAAACCAATCGTAAACTCCTGTTTTCAGATTTTACTCTTGGATCATCCAAAAAAGAAAATCAGGGACACTCAGAAGTACAAACCTTTTAAGAAGACTGTGAAGGTACGAGATACTTTTTATAGTTGACAAACCATGTGCGTGTGGACCAGTGTTTTTTATTATGTGATTGTTTTCTTTCTATTCTTTAGAGTGGTCGACCCTCGCTGAAACTCCTTTGTAAAGAAATACTCAACGTCAATGTCCAACAGGGTGAACATTCATCCGTAAGTCATCAACACATGAAACACAGTTCTCAACAAACACTTTTAACTCAACAGAGCATCCTGTACTCATCTCACCTTTCACTCTTTGGCTGTCTCTACCAGGTCCAAGATGCACAGGCCACCATGAGGCTCTACACTCTGGTGAAAAAACAGTGGGAAGCAGAGATTAAAGCCAGCCAGAAAAACAAAAACAAAGACACAGACAAGAAGAATGAGAGAAAGCCCAAGTTTCCCAAGAACAAAGGAAAACATTAAGTGGGATTTTGAAATCAAAACTGCAAGAGGACCTTTTGTCCTTGGATCAGAGCCTGTCCGACTGAAACGATCAGAGGTTTGGGGATTGCTTTTGGAAGACAACAGCTACCAGGAGACATTGAAAAGTAGCAGATGTTGAACACTTGTTATGTATCAGATGTTTTTCCCAGAAATCAGAAGGATGTTTTCAAATCTTGCAACATCAAACTTCCTCCATTGAGTGCTCATGAGAACTTCCAGAAAGAAACTATTTGTCTTACACAAGGCATATTGTTTTTGGATTATGGTTCCGGTGTTGTATGAATTGTTCTTTGTCTCACGTTTGTAATAATTTGATTCCTGGTTGCCTTAAAAGTTGTATGTTTTTAAAAGTATGAATTAAAAAAAGAGAAATAGAGGGTTAATTGTTAAAAATTTGTTTATTGCTTATTGACAGCCAAAGTTAAACCTTTTTTACCTCCAGGCGTTCTCAGACGCCCCCACGCTTGAGTTTTGCAAGACTTGTTTGGATTGGGGCCTTTCATATTTGCGTAGTCTATATAAGTATGTGTATAAGTATGTGTTTTGTGTTTCCATTCATGTCATAGAGTGAGGGATTACGATTTTCTTGTGTGCCCGCAGTGTGTCAACAAGATTTGCTGCCCATTTTTAATGGAGAAAGTGGTCCCAAATTAACAGAATTTTGGTCAGAAGGGTCAGGGGTCTACTTGAGTTCTTATGTTATGGGGGGGGGGGGCAGCCACTTTTTTGATAGATGCCCAAGAGAGGGCCAGGTGCCCTTCAGTTTTAGAAGGATGAACTGGCTTACGTTATATGCTTGCAAATGTACATTGCCCAGGTTTGTTTATATAAAAGTGGTAACATTTAGGAGGCTCTATTGGCAGAAATTAAATATAATATGCATAACCATGTTTCCATTAGTGTAAAATCACCTAAATATAGGGATCATGTTTTTGTTAGAGACAAAGACAAAGCAAACAATGGCTTTAGATAAAGGCATTTGTGTTGTTCACGGCCACTGTAGTTGGTCCTTTGCATTTAGAAAAGTCTAAGTGAGCAAGTTGCGATCTGCAATTACACTGATCCTACTAATTCATACACACTGTTCCTTTAATTATACCATTATAAAGCATTTTTACAAGGAACCCACCAACTGAGTTCTAATCAAATTTAGCATTATCTTACGCAAGCTCATCTATGCCAACATTTTTATGTGGTGTTAATTTTGCTTTTTTGTTTGAGTGATGGTGATGAAGTAAAGTATTTAGGCTTCCTGTGTGCCAGAGGTATGTCAGTGTGAGTTGCTGCCTAGAGGTTGATACACAGTGTGCACCACATTGCTGAATTGAAGCTGACGCCCTTGGTGTGCAGTCCCCAGGCTCTAAATCAAGCTCGATGTGAAGCTTGTCAGATGCCAGGCTGGCAGATGTTAAGCAGTTCATCAACTGTTATGTCTCCCCCTGGTGGTTAAACATTTAAAGACTGTATACAACATATAGAAAGCGTAATAAAGACAACCACAAAACTATTTATTGTGAGACTATGAACACAGGAGCTCTGTGGAAAAAAATAACTGTAATTGAAAAGCTGCTTGGTTTGTGATATTTTAAAATATATTATGGATTTCAAAGTGATTGCTAAACTAAAAGTCAGCAGATTATCAGAAAATTACAAGCATCCAAGACTGATCATGATGATGTTGGACCTCACCTGTATTTGTATCGAGGCCACTTTGCTTAGATCTTAACATGGAGGAACAAGTGAGAGATTGGGGGGTTGTAACACTGATAAATAATAAACGCTAATAGACACCATTTAAAGAGGGAGCCTTAAGAAGAGAGTCGTTCATTATCCAGTCAGTCTGGGTTTATGAGAAGAAGATCGTCTGAAGTCTGAGTCAGTTAGATTAGTTGAATTTAAAATAATCTATTTTATAGATTTTTTGTTATCTGAACTTTACGCTGCTTTCGAAACAGCTAGGTCCTGTCCTCTACACACGTATGACTATTTAGACACACCCACTCTGAAACAACCCTCTTACTTTCCCGTGTCATCTCAAGACAGAATCTCTTGTGCTAGCTACCTACTGTCCTCCCCTGGCTTCATCACTCTCTCCGGTTCATCACCCTCCAGTTCAGACTGGTTATTTAGATCCTGGATCACTAATCTCTGTTATCACAACCTAAAACCAAAGAAATGTGTCCCTTTTCAAAAATCTCCAGTGAATAGCACTAACCTGATCCAGATTAGTCCGTCAGTCATTACAATCCAGTCCGATTAAGATGGCTATAATGAACGCAAGGTCAGTCTGCAATAACACTTTTATCCTAAGGGACTTATTCACCGCTGTCTTTGCAGACCTAAGTAAGGATATAGCTTTCCCTGCCCAGACCAATGATCTAGTCTGCTCGTTCAATAACCTTTGTTTGTCAGCCCTGGATGTTGTCGCTCCTTTTAAAAAGAAATCCTCTTGTTCTGTTAAATCTTCCCCTGGATCAATGATGACATACGCTGTCTTAAAAGAGAGTGTATAAAGGTTAAGCGCAGAGGGAAAAGCACCAATTTGGAGGTTCATTTCATTCGTATGAAGGAATTACTCTCATCTTTTAATAAGTAAATAAAAGAGACAAGGACTGCTAATTTCTCGAACCTGATTGATTCTAATAAGAATAATCTTAGAGCCTTGTTTTGCAGAATTGACAGATTGGTGAACCCTGCCACTTCGCCTGTACTGGTTTTCTCAAATGTTGACTGTGAAATGATTCTAGCATTCTTTGTGGAAAAAGTCAATAACTTAGGTCTAAAATATCAGCTTCCTGTACACCTGGGGCTGATAGTCCCTTCTGTATTGACCCATTTTAACCTAATCTCTTTGGATGAATTTACAGCCACTGTTTCTCAAATGCTTTTATCCTCAGGTTCTCTCGACATTGTTTCGACCTCTCTTTTTGATGTTTTTAGCTTTTTACGACCATACATATTCTCTATTGTGAATAACTCCCTTAGCTCCGGCTGTGTGCACGATTATTTTGAACATGCAATCATTCAGCCACTTTCAAAAAACCTAGATCCATTGCTCCCCAGTAACTATAGACCCATATCCATACTTCCATTTATTTCTAAGGTCCTAGAAAGAGTTGTCTATAAACATCTTGTACAGGTTCTGGACACCAATGAAGCCTTTGATCAATTCCAGTCTGGTTTCCGGCCAAGGCACAGTACTGAGGTTGCCCTGCTCAGGGTTTTAGTTAATATTTTAATGCACGCAGATGCTGGGCAATGTTCAGTCCTATTGCTGCTAAACTTAAGTTTGACACGATTTACCACGCTATCCTCCAAAATAGGCTTCAGCAATAGGCAGGTATAACAGGGACTGCCCATTACTGGTTTGCCTCCTACTTATCAGATAGGAGTATTTCTGTTGCTATTTATCATCATGTCTCTTCATCTGCTCGGCTGTCCTGTGGAGTGCCACAAGATTCAATCCATATACATGCTCCCCCCTAGGTTGCTTAATTAGTCGAGTATTTTCTATCATTGCTATGCGGACGATACACAGTTCTTTAAATTCAGACGACCTTAGCCAACTCTCCACCCTTCAAGCCTGCCTAACAGCCATTAAGGACTGGATGTCAGACAACTTCCTCCAACTTAACCCTGACAAAACAGATGTCCTCATAATTGGCCCTGAGGGAATTTCTGGAAAGGTTCAACAGGGTATTGGTCCATTAGCAGCAAGTGTTGAGCAACCCTCAAAAAATCTTTTTGTCCCAATCTTGTTTCCTCTCATCTTGATTATTGCAATCCGCTGTTCATGACCCTAAGTCATTCTTCATTGTCCCACCTGCACCTGGTCCAGAATGCAGCTGCAAGACTTCTCACTAACACAAGTCGCAGGTCACACATCACTCCAGTAGTGGCCAATCTACATTGGTTACCCATCAAATGTAGAATTTATTTTAAAATTCTCCTACAAAGCACTGTATGGGCTGGCTCCACCTTATATTTCTGAGTTACTGTGTCCTCTGCCCTCGATGAGATGTCTGAGATCTACTGACCAAGGCCTTCTGGCGGTCCCAAAATCAAGACTTAAAACCAAAGGTGATTGAGCCTTTGCAGTTGTGGCTTCCACCATCTGGAACCACCTTTCCTTCATTATAAAAAATGCAGAATCAGTTGATAGCTTTAAGAAGCTGCTAAAAACTCGCTTTATTCTGTAATGTGTTTTTATTGTTATTTTATTTTTATCTATTTTATTTTCTTATTTCTTGTTTTATACTCTGAATGTTTGTAGTTTTATTGTTTTTCTAATGTTTTTTTTACTGCACAGCACCTTGTAACTCTGGGTTTGAAAAGGTGCTTTGTAAAGTTTAGCATTATTTTTATTATTATTTACCTCACCAGAAATAACCACATAAGCATGTGCCATCGATGTTCTGAGAGCCCATATCTGTTTATTGTTGTCATCCAAAACTTTTCACATTTCCAGGGAATATACAGTAGATACATTTAATGAAAATCAAACATTAAAGGTTGGACATAATAACATGAATACAGTAATGCAACCCATAGCAAATAACACCATACTATCCATACTTTCAATAGTGTGTATGAATGTGCATTGTTATGCTAAAACAATGGACTTCAAAACATGCTCAACTTATTGTAATATGTAAATAATCTATAATGAATATGCAAGGGTCTCTCATTCTCACTCTCAGTTTCCTGCTGTCACAATTTAACAAGCCAATATGTTTTATGTCTGTTTACAGTTTGTAAGTTCAACAATGTCCCTCCACATTTATATCAGTGAATGTGTTTACATGCTTATGTTTCCTGGTTATAATTAAGTTTTTGTAGTATCCCAGTTTTGAGAAACCCACTACTATTTACAAGAAATCTGAATAAAAACACTCACCATGATTGATGGTAAGGATGTGATTTTGTGAACGTTTATTTAGGTACAGTGTTGCAATCCTTATTCTCTGGACATTCTCTGTTGCAACATAACATATTGGCTGAACTATTGTTATTCTACATATAATTCGTTTGGATTTATTGTTTAGACTACATTAATTTTAGTTAAACTGCAACTGCAAACGGCAACTGAAAGTATCAGGAGAGTTTTTTCTTGACAGACAAAATAAAACCTTGAAAGAAAAAACTCTCAGTGCACTGAATGACTAATCAGGAATAATTAGGGATTCATTGCCCATTATTTGATTGGATATTGGTCCTACATTGGCTTTTCAGATAAACACTACCACATTTTTCAATCAAAGTATAATTTGCTTTAGCCTTTTCTGAACTTTATACTACAATAGAAACTGCTCAGTTACAGCTCAAATGAAAAAAACAGACCGGATGAGGCCCCCACAGGGATGTCTTGTTGACTCAAATATTTTTTATTGTATCCAGACTTTTACTCCTGCCAACGATTTACAGGAAATCTGAATAACAAAACTCAGTCAATGATTTATTGTAGTGACATGATTTCTAAAAAATTGGAGGAGTGTTTATTTAGCCATACAGTGTTGCAGTCATTATTTATCCATTGCTCAATCCGTACTTGTGCTCCCAACATGCAGCATATTGTGATGCCTCGCAGGTAAGAAAAGAACAGAACTCATCTATTCACTCAGATATTGATGGAAAATTAAATCTTTCTGATTCATCTTTCAATCTCATCCGGCAATACCCTTCCCTCAGTGCCTTTTGGGACGATTTTAAGGTCTGTGTTATGATTTTATGTATATCCAGAGTCTTGGAGAACATCATATACAGTTGTGTGTCAGAACTGCAATTTTATTGTTATAAAATGATGGTCTCAGTAAGACTGTTGAAAAGATAATGAAGGTTTTGCTTACATTCTAATAATATTATAGTATCTATGTCTTTTAATTATTCAGTTAATCAGGAAAGAGCTTAGCTTGTTGGAATTTTCCTTCTAATAACTGCAGTGCTGGAAATAACATGGTAATGGGACTGCATCCACTCGTTAAACAAATCTAATGACAGGATTGGAGGCATTACTGTTGTTGCTAACATGGCACTTAGTTTATGATTCAATATAATGTCTTCCATACTACTACTGTCTCGAATTAGAGTCAATATTGACATTTGCTGTGTGGTCTGTGGGTTTTAAACACGCAGCATATGAGCAGCAGCTCTTCAATGTTTGATTTGTGTGTCTTATTTAGTTCTCGCACCAAAACCAATTTTATCTCCCTGTGGATCCACTGAACATAAAATATGTTACAGAACTGAAGATCACTTCAGGTGTCATCAAACCTGGAGTGACATTTTTCATTTCTGTCGACCAAGTCAGTGGACACTGTTTCTTTATTAGTGAAGGACAACATCAATACAGATTATTGAACCACCAGTTTCTCATTGTCAGTCAGTCTTTGCATCCTCAAGGCTGCAATCTTTTGTGTTTACCTTACAGTACAGTCTCCATCTGTGCAAATGTACTGTACATGATAGATATACAGCAAATACAGTATCTATCATAGGCTGTTTGTTGTTCCTTGCAATACTTTTTTATTCATCTAATATATACAATGCACACTAGCAATAAAGATAATAACTATAACTGGAAATAATGGTGAACCGACGAGACTAAGGACATCATCACAAATCTGCTTTTTATTCCAAATCTTCTCGTCACCACACAATGTCTCCTCGAGTCTGCTGCTCTCTGTTTTGTTATGCATGAGCTGCAGAATGCTGCCGCCAAGAGACTAACTGTGGATGTGTCTGTGTTGACTCTTAGGACGAACAAAGTTGAACATTCAGTATTTATGCAGGTTGATGAAGAAACACTGTCAGCTTCTTTCTGTGGATGACTTCCTGCTGCATCTGTTCTGGTGTGGTGATGTTAAGGGTGACGTTGCCTTTATGAGGGGCGATTGTGGAAATGTCTTAAGAACTAATAATAATAATTCCAGTTTGTCCATTGCAAAAATGACAATCACATTTACGAGTGCTAATTTGTAACGTTAGCATGTTAACATGTTAAACTAAGATGGTGAACCTAAAAGACTAAACACCTGCTGAATACACTGTAAACATTGCTGACATACTGATATTAGCATTTAGCCATTAGCATGGTAGAAATGTTGTTAAAATTGGTTACCTTTAACAAACTGTATGCTAAATGCTATAGATACTGTATAAACACTACAGACTTGCTGGGATGGTTACTGTTTCAACAGCTTGAAATATGAAAGAATTTATTGAGTACAACACCTGTATAAATCTTGTATTTGACCGATCCTAGACGGTGCTGCAGGGGTTTGGGGGGTTGTAAATGAACAAGGAGTGATATAGTGCAGAATAGAGTTATGCATTGTTTCCTGAGGGTGCAGAAAACAGCTCTAAAACGCACAGTTAGTAGAGACATTGGTTGGGAGCCACATAAGGTGAGACTTGGTTCCTAAATATTTGACATACAAAATACATACAGAGAAAAAGCAGCTGTAAAAGCCCAATTTTTTTCCTATATGAATGCAGCTCATGCTCAGAGTAACTTACAGTTAACAGTTAGGGATGAGTGTCTGTATTAAGTGCCTCTATTTGTGCACATATTAAGCATATTAAATGTTAAAGTAAAGTGATTTCTGAGTTATGAGGTCTTTTGCAGGAAGATACAGTGATTATGTATTTAGCACGGAGAAGCCTGACCTTTATCCTGGTAGAGTTTGTTCACCTTTTTTCTCCAGTGAGGTTGTTGGAGGCTGTAGATCTGTGCAGCAAATACAATTATTCTCCAGACCTATTTGAAAACAGACCTTTTGTAGTTTTAAATAGTTAATTTGCCAGCAACACAATCTCCTTTTACTAATTCTAAATGCGCTTATAAATTAGCTCCCCTCTCGCTGTGTCTCTTTTAATCATCCTTTTTCTGTCCGCACTTTGCTCTTACAAGAACATTGTGTGGTCAAAGGCAAATGCTACCTAAGCAATAGCCTTTTGTCCTTTTAGAACTGTTGTAATTTTTACGAGGCAAACTCATTGTGAGTTTGCTGCCAATAAGTGCATCAGCAACATTGCAGATCATTGTACCTCCACTAGAAAAAGACTCAGACCAGAAGGCCTCCAGCAAAAACAGTGTCTGCAATTCAAAATGCTAAAATAATAAGTCATTGTGTATGTTTAAGCCTCAGACACTTACAGTTCTTAATGAGCCTGGAATAATCTGGTATTTGTTCCTGCAGCTTGTCTTTTTTCAGGAAAAAAAAGGTAAGATAGACAGGTCTGTTCAGATTTTTTAAGGATAGAGAGCAAAAATAACACAATCAACAGTGTTTTTCTTCTTATTATTATTAGTCTCATTACTATTAATGAACATATTACTCCTGACTCTGTATATATAACCCACCTGCTCCTCTGCTACCACATGACTGCTGATGTCAGCCAAGCCAAAGTCAAGGCTGGAAACCTGTAGACAAAATGGTGTTTGTGCGTCCGTCCAGCAGAGTGAGCATGTGTGGGCAATGTAGGCTAAGTGGGGAAGAGAGAGAGAAAGGGGGGGAGAAAGAGAAAAAGAACCAATTAAAAAGATGGCAATACACCAACACAATCTTTCCTCTTATAGCCCTGGCGTGTGTATTTTTTTTTCTTCTTTTTTTTTTTTTTTTTAACAGCATATGTATTTATGAAGTTCAGCAGCCATATGAGAAAATTAGCCTCTGTATTCACCGGGGTCCTCCCACCCCTCTGTCTTGTTCTCTAATCCGCCCACATGTATCGTCTGAGGAAATAAATAGTGCAGAAGGTGACGCTCCTCCAAAGGAACAGAGAGAGAGGCTCAGAGAGAGGGAAAGGCAAAGAGAGAGAAGTGTCTACAGGCTGCATCTCCATTGAAACATTTGGAAGAGGGGGAGACAGAGGAAGAGCTGAATGGTAGCTACACCCTGCGCCTGGAAGCGTAGAGACACTGTAACAAAGGCTGGCAATTATTTTTGGCAATAACAAAGAGGTGGGAGAGGGGCTCTGAAATCGAGGGAAATAGCAAAAAAAAGAGAGAGCCAGTTTTCAGGGGGACTTCTGCTTCATTTCATCCGAAAGACTCATCCCTTGCCATCATCAGCATGACCATAAGCTATAAGTAACATTCGGCAATAACGGTGTCAAAACGAGATTTTCAGCAACAGACGCGCGCAATCCTATTCTGATTTATTATAATCGGGGGGGGAAAAAACATCAACTGAATGCCTGCGAGAAACTGGATACTCTCTGAAATCATAAGAAAGAGCGATCTAACAAAGAAAACTACATTTTGATTGATCTTTTAAGCTTGATGTGCGTGTTTCTGCACGCACTCGAAACGAACCTGAACCAAAAGCAAGTGAGTATTAACCGTGTCTGTGTATATGTCTGTATTTTGGTGGCTTTATTCTGCCTTTATCTAATAACAGAGCATTGTTATTGTTAATTATTGGCCAGCTCTAAAAGAAAAATAATAATAATAATACAGCGTCTAGCCTACATTCAACAAGTATCGTTTTATCCATAATAACTGCGATTTTTTCTCCTGTAGCCTGTTTTTGTGTTTTGATAAATATCTGGAGAAATCAGAATGTGTGGAACATTGTTCACATTGTAATCATAAACCTCCTCTCTGTATTTTTTATTCTAATTTCTAGCTGCTAGAACACACACAGAGAACTGTTCTTCAACACAGTCAGATGTTATTTATTCAAACGCCCAAAAACAATTTGTGTAAATCCTAACATTCCTCATTGCACAAACGGTGGGTGTTTCCCCATCTACACCACTAGATCCGAGCAGTTTCATGCCTCTGAGGGGAATGTGTGTGTGCATTCCTCCCTGCATCATTTTGTGTCTGTCTGCGTGAGCAACTATGCCCATGTGTGTGTCACGTTGTACATTTGTATGCATGCATTTGTTTTGCTTGCATGTGCCCCCCAAGTGTATGTGTGTGTCAGTGTGTGTGTGTGTGTGTGTCAGTGTGTTTGTGTCTCTTGTGTGTGTTCGTGAGGCGGCGTGGCAGCACTGTGTCATACAAGTGTCAAGGCCTGAAATGGAGGTTTGATAAAGGAACCATATGAGGAGGGTGAGAGGGCTGACACAGAAACACACACAGGAGAGAGAGGGAGAGGAGAAGAAGGTGTGAGGAAGAGATGGATGGGGTTGGGGAGGAGGGGGGCACTGGAAGGACATAGCATCACTGAGATCTCATCCAGGAAGTCTATGGGGGCAGTTAAATGTCTAGACGTGGACTTCTTCCCCTACAGCCTGCCGCCACCACATCGCATATGCTCTGTCAACTTGCTCCATCTGCATTCCACTGCATTACACACAAAGTCTCTAGTTTCATAACGCCTCCTCTTCCTCCACTTTCCAGCACATGCCTCGCTTTTTCTGCCAACTGGCTCCAGCGTGCTCATCCCCTGATAGGAACTCTGCCTCTCTTCCTCCATTTGGTCCCCCCCCCCACACCTCCTCAATCCTGCATTATAAATCTACAGCTGATGCTATTTTTAGATTGAGGGTAACCCAGAAAACACCCCTTCGATTTTAGCAACAAAAAAAAGAAAAAAAAAAACCCTACCAGAGACAGTGGCATGCTGTCAGTGGATG